TGAACTTTTCCACGACATTCTAATTTATTGAGATGCACCTGTATATATATATATATACTGTATATACACACACATTTCAGTTATAAAAAAAAAATAGTTTTGGTTTTAGTTAACACTGGTGCACGCCTCACAGGCAGGGCCGTTTCTAGGCATAGGCGGTCGGCTAGGGCGCCACCAGCTGAAGGGGCGCCAATGAACGCACGTACTGGCACTTTTAGCAGGGTTGTGATAAAGAGTGGCTAACATCTGAACCAGAGTTACAAAACTTTTTTTTTTGTCCAGTAGGTCTGACACACTGAAGCTGGTGTGCATTTGTGAATCATAGTCTCTCATGTTTATTATCTGTGTGTGTGTGTGTGTGTGTGTGTGTGTGTGTGTGTGATAGATAGATAGATAGATAGATAGATAGCATCTACATGCAAACTGAATGTCATGTTTTCTGACTCTTAATTGCATGTTAATTGTAATTAAATGAAACTTGTAATTTAAACTGAACTTTAGTGATTTTTAAGTAGGACTTAAGTACATCTTTATATGTAATATAATTATTTCTGTCTTTGAAATATGCTTAATGTACTGACAAGCATTTATGATAAACTAAAATATACTTGTTAAACTAAAAAGTATGTTATTTCTATTGAAACTTGCATGTTTTAAATATATGCATGTGTTATATTTAAATATGTTTGTAATTACACATTAGTAATGATGAAGTTGCTAAATATATTAACTTTAAATGTAATATTGAATAACACACTACAGTTACAATTATAATCAAGTACTTTACATGTGCTTTAGTATGTTAGTCAACACATCAAAATAAGTGTACTTCTTTAAAGCATGACAAAAGATTATTAAAACATATTGATTTAAAATGCACTTTGAAGTAAAGCTTTTATTTTGACATTATTACAAAGTGCGCTTTTAAAAGGTCTACTTAAGTGTGTTCAGAAACAGTCATGAAAGTGTGTTTAAGTACACTTTAACTGGCCTATTATTTCATTAATATTATATGTAAGTACTTTTTTTTTAAATATACTTTTAAGATTTGAAGTGCACTACAAGTGCACATTCGGTACTATTAAGTGCACTTCTCTTTTCAATCAAAAGTGCACACATTAAGTGCATTTGCATTTTAAGTGCACACATAAATGCATTTTCTCACAAAATGACTAGACTAATTGCAGATGCACAACTCTGAACTCATGTGGTGTGTTACGGTTTAGTGCAGATATGACGTGTGTGTGTGTAGGTCATTGCTGGCGATACAACAGTAACTGGACCGTCAGCAGAGCAGACAGCAGGACTCACAGCCAGCAGCATTTTTCATGATGACCTGGGGTTTGTACACAAAACTCTCTTCAGCCGTCATAAAATAACACTCAACATGTGCCAAATGTGACTAAAAACTGGCTTTAGTGAGTCAACGGAATAATGGTTGAGTTCCTTTCTGAATTCAAGTCACCTTGATTTCTACAGCGCTTTATACAATACAGATCGTGCCAAAAGCAGCTTCAGAGATAAACAGGAAAATAACAATCAAATATAGAAACTCAACTATGGAGATGACTCAGATTCTCCTGTAAAGCTGCTCTAAAAGACAATTGTGTCATTTTAAATCGTATTTTTCTCTCGTTTCATTTTAATTTGGCATTTGTGTTGTCTTGCATTGGTAACAAGCCTCCACAAGCTTTCAGGGTTGCCATTGCCAGATATATAAATTATACAAATATACTATTTGTAGTATATTTGTATAATTTATATATATTTTTTTTTTTTCACGAAGGGTTACAAGAACATCATCAATCTATTAATTAAAGGTTATATAACATTATTGTATAAGAAGAGAGTAATAATAACTGGTTAATTATATTGGCAATTTTCCCAATTCACCTCCTCCTGTCAAAAAGTGCATTTTTGGACACTTTTCTCTTCTAAGCATGACTCTTGTTTGATGGATATAAAATAATGCAATTAAAAGTTAATTCAAAACCATAGAGTGTCGATGTTTTAACGTGTCTTTTGTTCAGTCCTCCGCAGTGTAAGAGCATTAGTTTGGAGCGAGGGCCTGACGGACTGGGCTTCAGTATCGTGGGTGGATTCGGCAGCCCTCACGGTGACCTTCCCATCTACGTCAAAACCGTTTTCAGCAAGGTAACGCTTTGGCACAGCGAGTGTGTACATCCACTGATGCCACGAGACAGACAGATGCATTATTATCTGGTGTGTGTGTGTGTGTGTGTGTCTGTGTCTGTGTCTGTGTGTGTGTGTGTGTTCAGGGGGCCGCGGCAGAGGACGGGCGTCTGAAGCGCGGAGATCAAGTCATCGCCGTTAACGACCAGAGTCTGGAGGGAGTCACTCATGAGGAGGCCGTCTGTATTCTGAAGAAAACCAAAGGAACTGTCACACTCACTGTGCTGTCATGAACACACACAGGTCCTGTAGTTGTTTAGACACTGGATGACACACTGTGGATGATAGAGCTGTTTACTGCTAGTTTGTGGAGAAACCAGCAGACTACTACAATCTGCCGTACTACGCTGAGACTGTAGAAACTCAGCTCTACTGCAATCCACACACATGCATTTGTGCTTTAAAATGCTGAAATGCTCATGGCTACATGGCACATCTGGTTATGACATATTTTTCCATCTTTTGATAAATAGAAAATGCACAAATATCTCTTTCCTGTTGCATTAAAAAACTGGGTGTACAACTTTACAACTTTGTTGTAAATTGACCCCATTGGTTTGCATGCAATTTGCCAAAAATCAACACTGTAAAACATTGAAACCCTCTATTTTAGCTTGTCAGAGACTAATGTAATAATTCCCATCTATTTCTAGTGTTTTAGGGGTCAATTTGACCCACATATGTTTGTTCAAAATTAGCTAAAATATATAATTATATATATTTTTGTCATGACTGCTTGCGGTGACTATTTGCACACAAGGTGCAAATAATTTCAAGTATAAATAGTAAATGTTTTTTGTATTTAGTGCACTAAGTATTGATATTTGTACTTTGCCTTTTTGTTATTATTTGTTGTATTTTTTTATTTTTTTTGACAAACTCAACTAGATAAAGGAAAAGTGCATTTTTCTTGGACAATTCAGAAAACAAATCTTAAATTTCGACTAAACTCTGAATTTTAACGTTGATAAGTTTTCATGCATTTCATACTTTAGAGTTTGACACGCTATAATAAAGGTTTTCTGGTTTTTACCGGACTCTTTGCTGGTTTTCAAAGCGTTGATTATTGGCAAACTGCATGGAAACCAGTCATTTTGAGCACATTTTCAGCCTTTTCAAAACAACACACAAAACACTTTGCATGCACATTCATGAAATATTCACCAAAATTCAACAAGAATCAAATTGTTTGCGTCCAACATCAGTTGTGTTGGGAAAATAAGTCAATGAAATTGTGCAATTAGTCAAGTTAAGCTCAATTTATGTGGGGAAAAAAACGTACTGAATAGAATGATATCTTTTTAAGCAGCAGTGGCACAGCTCTTTAGTATTTGAAAAAAGTCTAACAGCATTCATTTAAAAAAATACAGCTTCTTACGATCAAAGGACCTCAATATGTTTGATATTACACACCACTGTCAGAATGTTTTTTACAAATTATAATCAAAAAAATGAAAGCATGGTAAAAATGTAAGCAATACTGCTAGTTTTACACTGCAAAAAATATACTGACGGGGCAATAGGATGACAGTCCTGAATGTGTGTACATGCACACACTCGGATTGTGCATGTACTAGGATTTTAATCATCAAAACAATTCATCCTGATTATAAACTCAAAATATTTGAATAACCACCTTTGCTTCTTAAAAAAAGAAAACTTATTTTATATAGACGGAACAGACTGTTTGTAGAAACTGTGTGTGTGTGAGCAATGTGCTGATATTAATGATTTCTTTGAAAAGAAAAACAAGCATCAGTGCATTTAATGACATTTCTGAAGTTTTGCCTTCATCGGAGACGTTTGCTGCTGGATGTAGAACAAACTACTGTGATATATTTTGTTATATTGTCATTTTCCTCTGATACAGTATTGGATTTCACTACAAACACAAATAAAAGTGACCTTCAGCACGCATTTTTTTTTTTTTTTTTATAAAAAGCAACTTGCACGGTTACACCTCATACAGTAAATGTAAAAAAAATAAAAATATGAATAGACACTGGAGTCATCATCAAGAATGAATATGTTCTTCTAAATCTGCTAATTCTCCAAGATTCAAAAGCAATCCTGTCATCACAGCCGAGCGAGATCGCATTCATCTGCTGGCTGTTTAAACCTGGTTCGACTAGTTGTCAAGACATTATGATTGTACTGTCAAACGCATGACTGTAAATTAATCTTGTGTTTTTGGAGGAATGAACATGTAGAATGGGCTATTTAATAAAAGGTATCACTCTAAATCACCACTAAACACTGAAACCACTACAAAATCAGCATTTTCTAAAAATTCAGAATGTAACATATTCGCTGGTTTTATAAAAACACATTCATATGGCACTTTGTACACTCCAGCATAACATGCATACAGAAAGTTTCACAAACAATTTTTTTTTTTTCAAAGCTTCATATATATATATTCCATATGCATGAGAGTGAAATGAAAGGTCAGGTCAGTTTAAGGCAGTTTCCACACGAGACGACGAGCCTACTTGTTGTCTTTATAGTTATTAAACAAAAACCAAAAAAGTGGGGAAAAATCTATGCAATTAAAACATATGGAGAATATCTTTTTGTTTGTATTCCGTATTAAATAAAGCATATTTTCTACACACTATTAGTTAATTCCTTCAACAGAATTAAATAATCATGATTCATTTCATTTCCAACCAGTCTTTACGAAACAGAACAAATTGGAAATAATGTCAAATTGGATAAATAATGTTTATTTAAATTTTTTATTTTTTTTTTTTTAAGAAATTTTCTCTGGAGCTCAGTTTGAAAACTGATCTAAGAGTCCAAATTAAATTTACTGTTGTCAAAAACAAGAGAACAATCTGGAATGCTTTTACGTCATGTCTCGCCTGCGGGACCCTAAAAATAATACATTAATTTTCAGATGTGTGTCTTCGATACCTGTCTATGCATGTTTGAACATGTTACAGGCTTGATGTGGTATGCATTACAGCACAAAGTCCATACATCTGCGATTACTAGTGCAAATGCACTATTTGGCATTATAATACATTCATTTTTTTCCCATTATCAGCATAATTTGAAAAGCTGAGGAAAGTAAAACCTGATGATCCATGTTATCCCAGCATAACTCGGGCTAAGAGCATGTGTGCTTTTATGCACGAAAATTTGACCTTTTGTACAAAGGAGTCGTACTTTTTTTTTTTTTTTTTTTACTTATGCGATTACTGACCTAGAAATAGTACAGAATCAGAGATGCTGTATTTTATGTTTTTCAAAATCCCAAAACTGTATTTGCAGGTTTTTTTATGAGATCGTGGTCTCAGACTTTCTATATATAGAAAATGTAAATATATATGTAATAAACACTCTATTATTACAAGAAATGTACATAATAATGTTCCTTTCAAAACTTACAAATTCCCTGAATGCAATTGTTTGCATTAAAAAAAATCCTTCATCCCATAATCTATTGTTCATGGTAGCAACAGTTGTGTTGCATCCACCGTCTGAAGATGATCTCATATCGATAACAATAATACTAGCGACTAGGGCTGGGCAATAACATAAAAAATGGATCCCATTTGGATGTTTTTTCACAAAGCTTCTCTATAAAATTACCATAGAAGATAAGGTATGTTTTAATAATACTGTATATACTATTTATATTAAAAGTCTTATTTTTTGGATTTAAATTAGACCAATCTATTTTTTTATGCAAGACTTAAAATTATGACCAGCCTTTCAAAAAAATTCATAAAAATAATAAACTAGATGACCAGATAGAGCACTTTGTGCAACCAAAATGTGCTTTGTGCACTTTTGTTTACAAAGTTCAATGAAACTGCAGACTAGGGCTGGGAAAATATACTGATGCATCAAGCAATGATTCTACATTTACTCTGAGATTGTAAAAATGCATCGCGATTCTCTCTCGAATCAATTCTGAGCTCAGTTTTGAACAAGCAGGTGCGTGCTTTAGAAACAGCCGTGCTCTGCTTGCTTCCAGTTCCTTGCACACGCTTGAGCCTAAAATAATCATTCATACAGTTTGAAAAGGTTGAAGCGAATTGCAAAAGTGTTCACAGTGGGAACATTCATAGTCATAAAAGCATAAAGGTGCAAGTACATTTAACCACTTGCATGACTTAAAAACTAGCGTAGGGCTAAAACTAAGCTCAGAATCGATCCACGAATCGCTATGCATCGATTTATTATCGCAGCCCAACTGCAGACACCCTGAGAGCCGAGGATTCAGGAGTGAGAGTGAGATCGTGAGCGTCAGACAAGAAAACGCAGCGGGAACGACAACGCTGCTCCCAACGACAAACCCAGAGCCAGAAAAAACGTCATCAACGCGCCGGCCGTCTCGCCATCTTTAGGCTCCACGAGCCTGGAAAGAGAGGAGAGGACATAAACATCAGCATGTGAGATTTCATGATGTGTGCATGTTTTTAAAGGAACATGAAAATGTGCTCACTCTCAGATCATCCGAGATTAGGATGAGTTTGTTTCTTCATCAGATTTGGAGAAATGTAGCATTGCATCAGTGTCTCAGCAATGGATGCTCTGCAGTGAATGGGTGCCGTCAGAATGAGAGTCCAAACAGCTGATAAAAACATCACAATAATCCACAAGTAATCCACAGCACTCCAGTCCATCAGTTAATGTCTTGTGAAGAGAAAAGCTGCATGTTTGTAAGAAACAAATCCATCCTTAAGACGTTTTTAACTTTGAACTGTTGCCTCTGGCTAAACCATAATCCATAATCCATAATAACGCTTCCTCCAGAGTAAAAGTGGTCTGAATCAGGAGAGAAATCTGCACAGATCAAGAAACCGTTTACAAGACAAAACAGCTCTAAACAAACACGTTTCTGGATTTTGATGTGAGAGACAACAAGAGATGCACTTTTTCACTGGAGGAAGTGTTATTATGCATTTTGGATTTTAGCCAGAAGCAAAAGTTTGAAGTTAAAAACGTCTCAATGGATTAGTTTGTTACAATCACGCAGCTTTTGGCTTCTCAACTGATGGACTGGAGTGGTGTGGATTACTGTGATGTTTTTATCAGCTGTTTGGACTCTCGTTCTGACGGCACCCATTCGGATCCATTGCTGAGACACTCATGCAGTGCTACATTTCTCCAAACTTGGTGATCGTGTGGCACTGAAGACTGGAGTAATGATGCTGACAGTTCAGCTTTGATCACAGCAATACATTTCATGTAAAACATATTACAATCGAAAATAGTTATTTTATACTGCACTAATATTTCACAATATTACTATTTTTACTATATTGTGAATCAAATAAATGCAGCCTTGAGTCCATTTGTACACTGTGTGTGTGTGTGTGTGTGTGTGTGTGTGTGTGAGAGAAGTGTGTACTCACTGTGGCGCGTACGTCATGGACAGACACACAAAGTATCCGCTGGACACGGAGAAACACACCATGATTGCAGCAAACATGACGTCGTTTGAGAAGAGCACAGGCATGTAGTGTCTCTCCTGAACGTTACACATCATGAGCAGAGGAACGAAGATCACTCGGCAAACCACCAGCACCGGGAACAAACGACTGTCTTTAGAGGGCTGCGGGAGAGACAGAAATCATGCCATGAAATTATTACATACTGTATGAAAGCCCCACCAAGCAGAACGTTTTGACACAATATAATACAAAAAAAAAAAAGGAAACATTTTCTCATAGGCTGTGGAAAAATGTCACGAAGACCTGTTTATCCTCTTTTTCTTTCATTCAATCAAAGAAATGTAATATTCAAGTGACTTAAAAAATATATTTACAGAAATATACATTCTTGATACATTTTTGAGGATTCTTTGATTAAATAGAAAGTTCAAAATAATTTATTTGAAATACATTTTTTTGTAACATTGTCTTTAATGTCACTTTTAATCAATTTAATGCATCCTTGCTGAATAAAAGTATTAATGTCTTTAAAAAAATAAAAATAAACTACACACACACACACACACACACACACATATATATATATACTGTATATATATATAATTTTTATTTAATTGTAAATGGATTCTTATTTTTTTATATATATGACCCCAAACTTTTGAATGGTAGTGTATGAGTAATAAATATATTTAATATTTAATTTTTCATTTTCATTAAAGGCTAGACTTTTTGCATAAACCAAAAATATTTTTTCACAGTCTGTTTTGATCATTTTTACCAATTCTAGTGTAGGGCACTGCATACGTGCCATTAACTTTCACTCAGGTATAAATGTGAATTTTATTTATTTATTTTTTACCTGCAGTTCTGTTGGTGGTGAAACATAAATGCATTAATGAAAGAATGAATGATAAAATACTTCACTCACCCACTTAGATACTAACGTGACAGATCTGCCAATAAAGTCCATCACATTAAAGAAGAGAAAACAAACAACAGGAATGAAGTATCGTTCTGAAAGAAAGAGGGAGACAAACACGTGATGTGCATCCTCACACATATTACAGTGAAACATAATCATTTAGTATTTAGCTTTTTCATGCACTAGTTAGTTTGGAGATGTTGCTTGCATAACATGGCTTTTTCTCAGAGTCATAGGAAGAAAACATGCAAAATACACATTTAAGTGTTTATTTTATTGCACTCATTTTTTTTAAATGCGGGTAGATTTCAACAACAGTTCATATCTTTAAAAGCTGTGAGTTTTATCTCCACTTCAGTAGTGCTTACATACAGCAAACTGCACAGTTGTTTCATTCCTACACTCTCAGAAAAAAAGGTACAATAGTTGTCACTGGAGCGGTACCTTTTCAAAAGGCATACCTATGTACCAAAAGAGTCCATAATGGTACCTTAAAGGTACTTATTAGCACCTAAAGTGTACATATTAGCACCTAAAAGATACAAAAGTGTAACTTTTGAAAAGGTAGCGCCCCAGTGACAGCTGTTGTACCTCTTTTTCTGAGAGCGTATTCTGAAGGGTTTTACTGAGGGGTTTATTCATATGTTGTTCACCTGATTTATACAACATTTTATTACTAAAATCATGGTGGAAAATGATTTTTTTCTAACTGCATTTTATGGAGTGAAAGAGAAACAAACTTTAACTCTGATATGTCAACAAAATCAAGCAAAAACTTTGCCTTTATCTAATGTTCAGAATATATTTTTCTGAAAATGCATGCCAATTAGTACACATTTAATTAGCTGATGACTCAATTGAATATTTAAGGAAAGCATTAAGTCAACCTGTCTTGCTTTAAACTCTCATTCTCAGGAAAATAAATAAATTAAATTAAATTAAAAGCCCTAATTCATAAAACAACATATCATCTACCATTGATTTTACACGTAATTAATGGTTTTGGTGGAGCCAGAGATAGTAAATTAAAAATATTTCCTTTTAGGGCTAGGGTTTTTAAATGAATTGGTAGTCATTATACTGGGGTATATTTGTAGCAATAGCCAACAATACATTGTATGAGTCAAAATTATACATTTTTCTTTTATGCCAAAAATCATTAGGATATTAAGTAAAGATCATGTTCCATGAAGATATTTTGTAAATTTCCTACCGTAAATATATCAGAACTTAATTTTTGATTAGTAATATGCATGGCTAAGAACTTCATTTGGACAACTTTAAAGATGCTTTTCTCAATATTTTGATTTTTTTGCACCCTCAGATTCCAGATTTTCATGATGTATAAATCTCAATTTTTAAAAATTGACACTTAAGACTGGTTTTGTGGTCCAGGGTCACATATGTGTGTGTTTCGTACCCCATTTCCCACCATACACAGTTTTCACATCCACCGTCACCGCAGGAAAAACTGACAGTGTAACTGTGAACACAAACGTCACACAAAACGCCATCAGCCAAATCTAGAGACAGAGAGAGAGATGATGAGGACAATCAGCCACTGTTATAATAGCGTCCAGAACAAACCACAGGCTGTGAGAGTTTCTGATGGCAAAATACAACGGCACCTTTTTAAAGACCTGCAGGATGGAGCTCTTCTGAGGGGACGACGTGTTTTCTGACAGCAGCGTGATGAAGGCCTGCTTCACACCCTCCTCTTCACCTTTATTAGGATTGCTGCTCTTCACAGAGTCCTCAACAGCATCTGGAGGAACACAGTCGCCGTAAAACAAAGAGCATAATTGCATTGAATGTGCACTGTGTGCTTCAAATCTTAAAGTGTATATGCAAATAATACAATAGTAATTAAATAAAAGGCCACTTCAGTGACTTAAAGAGACACTTTTCTGAACACACTTAAGTACACTTTTAAAAAGTGACCTTCGTAATAATGTCAAATTAAAAGTTTTATTTTAAAGTACATTATATATCATTGCATTAATAATCATGTTTTAAAGTATTACACTTATTTTGTTATGTGTTGACTAACATACTAAAGCACATGTAAAGTACTTGATTATCATTTTAACTGTAGTGTGTTATTCGATATTACATTTAAAGTTAATATATTTTAAATGCACTAATTTGCAACGTCATTATTACAAATATATTTAAATGCATAAGCTTAAATAGAAATGACATTAAAGTATATTTTAGTTTATCATAAATGCTTGTCAGTACGACACTTAAGACTGGTTTTGTGGTCCAGGGTCACATATGTGTGTGTTTCGTACCCCATTTCCCACCATACACAGTTTTCACATCCACCGTCACCGCAGGAAAAACTGACAGTGTAACTGTGAACACAAACGTCACACAAAACGCCATCAGCCAAATCTAGAGACAGAGAGAGAGATGATGAGGACAATCAGCCACTGTTATAATAGCGTCCAGAACAAACCACAGGCTGTGAGAGTTTCTGATGGCAAAATACAACGGCACCTTTTTAAAGACCTGCAGGATGGAGCTCTTCTGAGGGGACGACGTGTTTTCTGACAGCAGCGTGATGAAGGCCTGCTTCACACCCTCCTCTTCACCTTTATTAGGATTGCTGCTCTTCACAGAGTCCTCAACAGCATCTGGAGGAACACAGTCGCCGTAAAACAAAGAGCATAATTGCATTGAATGTGCACTGTGTGCTTCAAATCTTAAAGTGTATATGCAAATAATACAATAGTAATTAAATAAAAGGCCACTTCAGTGACTTAAAGAGACACTTTTCTGAACACACTTAAGTACACTTTTAAAAAGTGACCTTCGTAATAATGTCAAATTAAAAGTTTTATTTTAAAGTACATTATATATCATTGCATTAATAATCATGTTTTAAAGTATTACACTTATTTTGTTATGTGTTGACTAACATACTAAAGCACATGTAAAGTACTTGATTATCATTTTAACTGTAGTGTGTTATTCGATATTACATTTAAAGTTAATATATTTTAAATGCACTAATTTGCAACGTCATTATTACAAATATATTTAAATGCATAAGCTTAAATAGAAATGACATTAAAGTATATTTTAGTTTATCATAAATGCTTGTCAGTACATTCAATATTTAACCATATTTCAAAGACAACAGAAATCATTCTGAATTTACATATAAAGATGCACTTAAGTCCTACTTAAAGTTCAGCTAACAGTATTTAATCTACATTTAATCTATAATACAGTTTCACCTAACTGCAATTAACATGAAATTAGGCATCCAAAAATATTCCATTCAGTTCATTCTTAAGTATATTCCTTTATTAAGCACTCTTTTTAAAAATAGGCTAGTATACGTGCATGTCTTCTTCATTAGGGAAATTATATTTCTAAAGCTATAGTGCTTTTAATCTATAAACACTGGTGAAATGCAATCAATATCTGTGAATTTAGACTAAGTTCCACCTGTAGGCAGCAGCCGGCTAGACGTCTCAAGCTCGTAACTCTTGCATTTGCTGTCCAGGTAAAATCTAGCAAACTCCTGCACACACACACACACACACACTCCAGAGATCGGTCTCAGATTCAGCTGAATAAGAAACTGCACAGGACTACATCTAAACACACACACACACACACACACTCACCAGCTTTGGCAGCAGCATGTAACTGAAGAGCGTGACGAGGGTCCCGACACACGGAGTGATGAAATAACCCAGAGCTGCAGATTCACTATCAGCTTCACCTGTTACACACACAGACACACACACGCGCACACACGCGCACACACCGTGAACAAATCTACACAGAAATGCATGAGAGGTTCCTCACATGCTAAACATAAGAAAACAGAAAATAAAACGAATTCAAGATATTAATAACTATAATAGTATCTCAATGATAGTAAAATAACAGGGTGTCTCACTTGCTATGGCGAAGATCATTGCAAGAGCAGCAAATGTCCCAGCGAGTCCCTGTCCGCTCATAAAGACAGCGCTGTAACTCTGCGGCAACAAACCCACCAAACCAAACAGACTTCCCTGTAACACGGCCCCGAACGCTGAGAGACCCACAGACATAAATACCATGAGCACACAAAAACACTCGTCTTCACGAAAAGTGATCTACATGAAAAAAATCGTTTGAATTATGCATTTACTCTGAAACCGGTTACAAGCGTGGTTTTCAGTGAGATAAGTTTGGAGTTGGTAAGATTTTT